CATAACTAAGTATTGTTTTTTTATAATACAAAGAAGAAGTCTTTTCTTTTTTCATTTTTATAATAAAACAGGAAAACAATCAAATCTTCCAGCTTGCCAAGAATCAAATTTATCAGGTTCTTGGAATACTACCAAACCTACAGGTTTTTGGACGCGAGGATTTGAATGGAATTCACTTATTTGCAAGTTAAATTCTAACGTAACAATGAATTGGGCACACGATTGTTTAAGAAACACAACAACTTGGGTCATTGGAGATTCAAATGCCAACATGCTGTATTTAAGTTTTTTAGCAATTACTGGGTGTATCAACAAAACTGGTGGCTGGCCACGATCCTCAATGTGTGTCGTTCAGCAACATGGAATTAAGATCATTGCAATACCCCATGAAAAGCCAATATATGCTAAGTTACAGAGAGCTGATCATATTGGCAGCATTCCGGCAGTACTTGACAATATCAATAGCACGGGAAAACACATTGTGTTTGTTCATTATTACCTGCACTACACACCAGCACACCCAAGTGTGTTTTACCTGCGGATGAAAGCTCTAAAAGCTGCAGTAGAAAGACTGGTGAAGAGAAACCCAAATGTTCTCACCGTCATACGCGGTCCTCATGCAGCTATCCAAGATTGTAAACACAATCGTGCAATAGGTGGAGATCCGTTAGCACCTCTTTATATTGAGATAATCAAAACCATGTTTCGAGGCTTGGAAAATAAGGTTTTGTTCTTGGATGGATGGGATTTAACAATAGCAATAGAAAGTAATGGAATTCACCCGCCTGCTTTTGTTACGAGAGAAATGATCAAGATTGCACTATCTTACTTTTGCAAGTGAATATTTCTTAAATAACACAAAATACACAATGGAACAGTTGAGTAAAGAAACTAAATTATTGATTGTGTGATTGTAGATCCAGAATCTAGATAATTCTCTACTTGTTCAGGGACAGACAAAAAATGATTTAAGTTTAAGTCAAGTATATCTGATATATCTGAAGCTCTAGATAAATGCATTGTATTGTCTAATTAGACGATCTGTGAAGCTAAAAAACAAAAAAAATTATATCAAATATTTAAGGATTAAAATAGTTTCATAAATATACTCAATTATTTATTGTGTTTTTATACATGTTTTACTTTATAACTAATTAATTTTGGTTGCCTAGTTTCGTAGTTTATTGGAATTACATTCGTTTTATTTGACGTCACTGTGTAATTCCCTGGAAAGGATTTTAATTTTTTTTTTAAATTAAAGTATTTGTTCTGAACTTTTATAATTAAAGGGTGTATTTCTACTAATGAATATATCATAAGATTTCTGTTAAAATAAATTTGTGTATAACATTTTTAAAAAGGACATTTTTCTCAAAATAAAAACGTATTTTTCAGTTCTATTTATAGTGCAGATGCTCAAAAATATTTATTGAAATTTAACTTGAATATATATTGTATATATATATATATATATATATATATATATATATATATATATATATATATATATATATATATATATATATTTAGTTAGTTATTTAGTTATTTAGTTATTTATTTACTTATTTATTTATTTTATATATTTATATATTATATGAGCGGGCTGGTAGTGTGTCAGTCCTTCTGTCATCGCTATAGATTTTGGAACCATAAAACTAAACATCGCACCATGCAGTGCTTTTCAGTTCATCGCAGTGTCTTATTGTTAGTGATAGAGTAGGGTTTGTTTATATAACCACATAAAGCTATTTTTAAGTTGCCCATGTTTTTTCTCTTTTGCATAACGTAAAGAAAATATTAAATACACGCACAGTGCTAAAACATATTAAAAGAATCAATGTAAAATATCATTTTCGTTTATATTCCTAGAAAAATTGATACATTTTAATAACATAATAACAGTAGGGTAGAAAAATCTAACTAAACTGTTTAGTAATTTTACCAAGGGAGGTAATTTAAAAATAAATTGAACTCACGCTAAAAATGTGAAAGCAAATTTCCAAGACGGAATAATTGTTGGAATAATATAATTAGCAAAATGTGAATGCAAATTATGGAGACGTGTAAGAGTACATTATTTTTGGAAAATTATAATTAGCATTGATTGATAAAAGGCTATCTTTTATTTATTTTATTCACTGAATGTACTGTTTACTAATTATAATTTTTAATCAACTATTCCCCATTATTATATAAAGTCATCACGTTCATTAGGTGAGCAATGGTTTTAGTCATGAAACTTTATTGTAAATTTTAAAGAGTACTGAAAAGTGCTTATAAAGTGCAATATGGTCGGCAAAACACGTATATTTTAAATACTGCCTTTTATTTATTTTATACACTCAACGTACTGTTTACTAATTATTAATCTATCTTTCGGTTTGCGGACAAGCTGTGGGTTTTATAGCAGAGGCGTAGCGAGGGGTGGGGGGAGGGGGTGGGGGGACTAATGTCCCTGGGCGCCGACATTAGGGGGCGCCAAAATAGGTTGGGAAAAAAAATTGAAAATTTGCGGGGAGGGGTGGGGGGTGCAAATCGAAATTGTGAGGGGGGGGGGGGGGGCGGGGGGATGCAAATATAAAGTGTGGGGGCGGGGATGCACATCGAAAGTTGGAGGGGGGTTGCAAATCGAAAGTTTGTCCCCGGGTCGCTACGCCTCTGTTTTATAGTCATTTACTGATTCAGACGCGACAGCCGGCGCTCGGACAGGGCGCGATTTGGCGCTACGGGCTATAACGGGCCAATATGCCTTTATGACTGCATTTAAATTGTGTTTATGTTATAAGTGTTGTTTTTGTTTTTTCGTTTGTGTGTTTTTATTTTGTTTTTTTCGTTTGCGTTGTATTTAGTTTTGTTCTGTTCCCAAGTTGGTACATTTAAAAACAATTTTTTTATGATTTCAAGACTTTCTGTATATTCAAACACTTATGACAGCACTAGAGAGGCTAAAAAATACCTGCAGCAGAATTATGCTGCAGTGGATCCCGGGCCACTGCCAGATCCAGGGTAACGAGATCGCAGACCAGCTGGCAAAAATTGGGGGAAAGAAACCACAACCGGAAATTTCGCTACACCCAAAAGAAATAAAAAGAATTATAAAAAACAAACAAACGCAAATGTGGTCTGTCACACACCCTCACTACATTAAAGACGACGGCTATTATAATTTAACACGAAAACAACAATACATAATCTTTCGACTTAGAACAGGCCACAACAGACTAAATCAACACATGCACAGAAAACTGAAGGTTGGGTGTAGCGAAATGTGCCCTTGTGGCAAGGCCCCGGAAAACACGGAGCACGTACTCCAGGAATGCACTTTGTATAGCCAGGCACGAGACAGACACTGGCCCCAGCCCACCCCACTCAGGGAAAAATTATATGGGGCACCTGACAAACTGGAGACCACAGTCCGGTTTATCCACGAAGTTGGACTTGTTGTCTGAATCCTCCACCATATTCACAATTAAGAACGAAGAAGTTGAAGAGAAGAAAAACAATTTACCGTGGCGGAGCACGGGTATGCAGCTAGTATATATATATATATATATATATATATATATATATATATATATATATATATATATATATATATATATATATATATATATATATATATATATATATATATACATATATATATATATATATATATATATATATATATATATATATATATATATATATATATATATATATATATATATATATATATATATATATATATATATATATATATATATATATATATATATATATATATGTTCGTTCGTTCGTTCGTTCGTTCGTTCGTTCGTTCGTTCGTTCGTTCGTTCGTGCGTTCGTGCGTTCGTTCGTTCGTTCGTTCGTTCGTTCGTTCGTTCGTTCGTTCGTTCGTTCGTTCGTTCGTTCGTTCGTTCGTTCGTTCGTTCGTTCGTTCGTTCGTTCGTTCGTTCGTTCGTTCGTTCGTTCGTTCGTTCGTTCGTGTTCGTTTACAGACACACAGAGACATACACACACACACACACAAACAAACACAAGGACAAGATTACAAAACTATGTTTTTTCGACTCCGGGAGGTGTAAAATATTGAAATTTGCAAAAATCTCAATGTTTTTTTTACATGATACTATACTTTCACTATACTTTGTATACACAAGAAAATAAAAAAATCGTGTTTTGCAAATCTCAACGTTTTACACCTCCCTGAGTCGAAAAAACATAGTTTTGCAATCTTGTCCTCATGTCTATGTGTATATGTGTGTCTGTAAACACGATGACTTGAGTACCGTTACAGCTAGGTTGATGAAATTTCATATATAAGTATTATATCAAATTTGTAGATCTGTATTAATAATTCAGCGATTTTCGTCAAACGAAAATGGAACCTTTACTACTTTCAATTTTTCATAAGCCTATAACTTGAGAACTATTTCAGATAGATAAATGAAATTTCACATTTAAGTAAAAGATCTAGTGCTCTGCCTTCTGTAATTTCCGTTGACTGGAAGTAGTAATTTACGCTATTCCCCTTTTCTAAAAAAAATAACAAAAAAACACATTAGTACTTTATAAATTCACAACACATGTGAGTTTATAAAGTACTAATAATATTCCGCACTATTATACACATCTTTGTTTAGCGTTCACTTGGTGCTCAATTTTTTTTCCACGAGATTGCATTCTATTTTAAAAAGTTTAAGTAATAAACAATTGATCAAAAATCATGTTTATGTCCCGAGTTGCCATCCTTTGTGTTATATATGAATATTCGATAAAGTTTAGGGGAGATCACTCCCGGTTTATTATACATTGTAAATAATGTTAGTATTTAAAAAGCATTTCAAAATCTCCATTTAACATGATTCAATTATACACATATTATTACTAGTCTATGTCATTATCACAAGCACATTTAAATTTAGTTATATTTTCTAAAAGATAATTCAGAAAAATATTGGCTTTAACGTCATTGACACCTTTACTGTAGTGCGTTCCATCGTAGCTCATGACTCCTTTAGTCAGGTGAAAAAAATCGAGTGTCGGAATTCCTTGCTTTTTCATTAAAACACTCACACGCTCGTTAAATTGTTGGATTTTATCTGGCTGTAGGTAAACATGATACGGTGTTTTTAATAAACCAGGGGCGTGGGGGGTCAGCCAGATAACCTTTGGCCAAACAGCTTTAGACAACATCTCAAACATGGGATTAAACATCTGAAATGACACGTTTGAATATTATTATTTAAAGAACTAAATAAATTAACATTCTTTTTTCTTGATACAAAGTGAAACTTTATTTTAATAATTAATCTAAGTGTCGGCTTTCATGCCTAAATTTAAAAAATAGTATTCTTACAAAAATTATAGTTTACTCAATAAGTTGATCTAATAAGTTGTGATTCTCATGTTTGTTATACCCATCTAATAAAACCCAAGTGAAACAGAAAACTATTACCTGAGCTTCAAGTAACGTTAGATTCAATGAGTCGTGTAACCCAAAACCAACGATCAGAAGAGAATTTGTTTTCCCGATCATCTCACTTATGGTTTGCAAGAGTTCCTTACTTTGATGTGCTCTCATTATCCAGTGATTTGTAAGATGAACCTTAGAATTGCAGATGAGTTAGCGGCTTTTTAATGAAGTCGAGATTTACTTGTATATCAAATTAGAAATACACAGTACTCTGAACATTAATATTCAATGTATACGAATATAAATAGACGATTTTCTTACCGTCCCATTGCACTCCAACGAATCACGTAACACGTAATTAGAGCATTCCGAAAAATACTTATAATAGAGACTGCACTTTTCTCTGATTTCTGTTTTAAAAATTCAGCAAAATGCAAACAGCA